AAGTCTCAAATCCAAAGAGATATTCTTTATAAAAGTTAAGACTTGTCCACGCCCTCCTAAAATGCCTCGTTTAAACACTCTCCCACATGTCTACGTCACTGTGTGGGAAGATTTGCATAAAGCCACCCAAATGTTCACGCAAAGAAAGAAGGCGTAACTTTTATTCTCGCTGTAGTATTGTTGCCGCCGCCGCCATGTTGTGTAGATGCTGTGTGTTTCGTTGTGAAAGCGAAACTACTTTGTTTGGCCTTCATTATAATTGTAATGATTGTTATTATTTGAGAAATTTACTTTTGCATTTCAGTTATTGCAATTTCACCAGTAAGCACAAATCAATAGAATGTGGACATATACACATGCTTTATTTTACCTCTTCTAGTGTACTGATTTAGGCTATTATAGGCTTTTTATTATATAAATTAATACCAGACTTATGCACTCTCTCTGTCTACATTATGAAAACTGGTAAACCCTGGTCATATGACCCCTTTAAAACAACAGCGGTTGAGTAAGTGCATTTATTCAGCAACCACAATCGCAAACAAGAGAAGTCAGACTGGCTGAATGACACTTTCATTTAAATCGCAAAACTCCAGCTTGTGCGGCGCTTCCGCAATGAAGAGCGAGCACATGTGCATGGTTGCCAGATTGCTTAAAATACGCAAAACACCGGGCAGAAAATGTATCCTTATAACAGCGAAGCTCTGATTCAGGGATTTGAACTCTTGAATATCTGGCAACCGCACACATGAAAGCTCGCGTAGTAGAGGCGTGTAGAGCAGTCCGCAATAACATTTTGTCTCCTTTTTTTTGATGAAAATAAAATGAGGTTTTTGGTAAAGTTTTTATTTTTTGAATACATTTTAGTCTAGCCAGACTTATGCACTCTCTCTGTCTACATTATGAAAACTGGTAAAACAAACGAAAAATATTGTAACAGTGAAATTCCTAGTAATTCCATTAATTCCAAATTGCAATAGCCTATTTCTCTATTAAAGGGGTCATATGATGCTGCTAAAAATCGCAAACAAGAGAAGTCAGACTGGCTGAATGACACTTTCATTTAAATCGCAAAACTCCAGCTTGTGCGGCGCTTCCGCAATGAAGAGCGAGCACATGTGCATGGTTGCCAGATTGCTTAAAATACGCAAAACACCGGGCAGAAAATGTATCCTTATAACAGCGAAGCTCTGATTCAGGGATTTGAACTCTTGAATATCTGGCAACCGCACACATGAAAGCTCGCGTAGTAGAGGCGTGTAGAGCAGTCCGCAATAACATTTTGTCTCCTTTTTTTTGATGAAAATAAAATGAGGTTTTTGGTAAAGTTTTTATTTTTTGAATACATTTTAGTCTAGTCTTTTTTCGTCAACGAAATTGCATGTTGATATAGTCATAGTTATCGTTTATTGACCTTATTGTCGTCTCGTCTTCGTCTCGTCTTAGTCATGGGAAAAAAGCTCGTCAACGAACATTTTTTCATCATAGTTTTCGTTAATGAAATTAACACTATTGTATACAAAACTAATTTCAAACACTGAAGTGATTAAATAATTTTTTTTAAAAAGGAGAAATTAAAAGAAAAGGACAAAGTCAGTCCAGTGTCATTTTAGTATTATTTATATTATAGTATATTTTGTTATTTTGTCATTTTAATTTTAGTTTAAGTTTTAGTAATTTTGTTATGTGCTTCTGGCCTTTTTACTGTTATTATTATTATTATTATTATTATTATTTAATTTCAGTTCTAATTTTAGTCATTTCATCACATCAACTTTGTATCTATTTCGGTTAGTTATCAAGGCAACATTCTTATTAAGATTTTTAAGTTTCAATCTATTATTTATACTTTTTTATACTCTTTATTTCAGCTTTATTTCAATTAACAAAAACATTCATTTTAACAGTCAGTCAAATGTGTCCATATGTTTGACTGGTAGTCTATGTTTAAAAACATTAACAATGACTGGTTAATCAGCAGTAACTCACCTCCTCGACAAGCCTGAATGAAGAACATCTTTGGCTTATTCTGGAGCAGGGGGCAGTGGGCATTATCAAAAACCTCAAACACCCAGTCCAACTGAGAGACAGAGAGAGAGATGTTTGAAACTCTGATATGTAAAAGAATCTTTTCTGCAAGGCAATAAATTTACTTCAAATCGAACTCACATACTGATAAAATCACACCTGTATGTATAACTAAGAATTAGTAGTGATGCACCGAAATAAAAATTGTGTGTCAGAACTGGAAATTCAGGATGCACTTTAAATAGACTTTTTAAAAACTTAATTTAAAATAGTTTTTTTTGTATAATTGTATTAACATTACTGCACCAATAAAAAAAATAAAAAAAATTAAAAATTAAGTTTATTTAGCTGGAAAAAAAAAATTAATAATTAATGGTTACACTTTATTTTAAGGTGTCATTGTTACAGTGTACTTATACATTTAAGTACTGAGTAATATTAATTTACTACATGTACTTACTATATGGTTAGTGTTAGGATTAAGATTTGGCTTAGAGTTAATTGCATGTAATTATGCATAATTAATTGTTATTATTATTCATTTTATTTATAATTATATAATTTTATTGTTATTAAATATAATTATTATTATAATAGTAAGTACATGTAACCTGTGTAACAAAGACACCTTAAAATAAAGTGTTACCTAATTCATCGATTTTATTTAAAAATCAACAAGCTGCACACAGTTTTTATGTCAACTATTTAATAACAGAATTACGTTTCTACTCCGATTTGTCATTAAAATACAAACATTTTTTAAATGGTGACTGTAACAAAAACTTTTCATTACTGATTTATTTGAACATACATTAAGTAATGAAGACAACAGGTTAATTTAAAATATAATAACTATATAATATAATGCATTTTTCACAAAATCAGTAAAACGCTAATTAAACACCAGTTTTGGCCAATGATTTTGGCCTTTCCGAAATTTTCGGTTGCCAAAATGTTGGTGCTTCACTAAGAATTAGGTATTAAAATCAAGTGCACCTCCAGCAGCTGTCCATCAGTGCCGTAGACAGATCCCTCAACTCCATGTGACAGTAAACACACAACAGTGCAGTCATACTGTGCATGCTCCTGCCGCTGGGCAAACTGCTCTAGGCACCTGCGCATTGCCTGAAAAACACAAATCAAAACCTTAATAAAAGACTATGCTTTGCAGTGCAGTCTGACTCTGTCAGCGTGTCTAACTCACCTCTGCAGTTAGGTCTTTGTGCAGGCTAACTGTGAAATCCAGTTCCATGAAAAGTCTCCTCAGCGTCTCCTCATCCACCTCTCCTCCCCTCCGGATGTCTAAATCAGAGTTAGCCGAGTCAAACCTCACGTTACTCAGTACCAAGGCCAGTCCTCGTGGGCAGGAGCGCATTGGGTAAGCCTGAAAGGAAAGACATTTGCATAGAGGTTACACACTGTGCTAACATAGCGTAAAATATATGCAAATAAAATGGGTTGTGTGTGAGTGTGCAAAGGAATAGGGTTTGTGTCCTTGTACCTGTGATCTATGGGACTGGTAAAATTCCGGCATGCAGGGAAGAACAGCTGTGGTCACGGGAGAGTCGGCATCCAAACACATCTCCATGGACTCTAAAACACACAAAAACAACCCCATTTAGCTCAAAAATATTAGACTCATCTAACATAACAATTTGCCTTTATGTACTGTATTTTCTTCTATGACAGTTAATGTAAACAAGCATTGTTATTGCTAACTAAAACTACAACTTTTAACTAAATATGTTTATTGGTAACTGAAATAAGGCTGAAACAAAATTAAATATTAAATAAAAAATTTAAATATTGTAAATATTGCCTTGGCACCTGAAATAAATACACTTTGATAAACCAATAACAATGATTTTAGAGTTTCAGGACAGATTTTGCTGGAAATCGCATACAGTGCCTTGCAAAAGTACTCATACCCCTTGAAATTTTCCACATTTTGTCACGTTACAACCACAAACGTAAATGTATTTTACGTCTTATTTTATGTCATAGACCAACAACACAAAGTGGCACATAACTGTGAAGTGGAAGGAAAATGATAAATGGTTTTAAAATTTTTTTACAAATAAATATCTGAAAAGTGTGGCGTGCATTTGTATTCAGCCCCCTTTACTCTGACACCCCTAACTAAAATCCAGTGGAACCAATTGCCTTCAGAAATCACCTAATTAGTAAATAGAGTCCACCTGTGTGTAATTTAATTTCAGTATAAATGCAGCTGTTCTGTGAAGCTCTCAGAGGTTTGTTAGAGAACATTAATGAACAACCAGCATCATGAAGTCCAAGGAACACACCAGACAGCTCAGGGATAAAGTTGTGGAGAAGTTTAAAGCAGGGTTAGGTTATAAAAAACATTCCAAGCTTTGAACATCTCACTGAGCACTGTTCAATCCATCATCCGAAAATGGAAAGCATGTGGCACAACTGCAAACTTTCCAAGACGTGGCCATCCACCTAAACTGACAGGCCGGGCAAGAAGAGCATTAATCAGAGAAGCAGCTAAGAGGCCCATGTTAACTCTGGAGGAGCTGCAGAGATCCACAGCTCAGGTGGGAGAATCTGTCCACAGGACAACTATTAGTCGTGCACTCCACAAATCTGGCCTTTATGGAAGAGTGGCAAGAAGAAAGCCATTGTTGAAAGAAAGCCATAAGAAGTCCCGTTTGCAGTTTGCCACAAGCCATGTGGGGGACACAGCAAACATGTGGAAGAAGGTGCTCTGGTCAGATGAGACCAAAATTGAACTCTTTGGCCTAAATGCAAAACGCTATGTGTGGCAGAAAACTAACACTGCACATCACCCTGAACACACCTTCCCCACCGTGAAACATGGTGGTGGCAGCATCATGTTGTGGGGATGCTTTTCTTCAACTGGGACAGGGAAGCTGGTCAGAGTTGATGGGAAGATGGATGGAGCCAAATACAGGGCAATCTTAGAAGAAAACCTGTTAGAGTCTGCAAAAGACTTGAAACTGGGATGGAGGTTCACCTTCCAGCAGGACAACGACCCTAAACATACAGCCAGAGCTACAATGGAATGGTTTAGATCAAAGCATATTCATGTGTTAGAATGGCCCAGTCAAAGTCCAGACCTGAATCCAATTGAGAATCTGTGGCTAGACTTGAAAATTGCTGTTCACAGACGCTCTCCATCCAATCTTACTGAGCTTGAGCTATTTTGCAAAGAAGAATGGGCAAACATTTCACATTCTAGATGTGCAATGCTGGTAGAGACATACCCCAAAAGACTTGCAGCTGTAATTGCAGCGAAAGGTGCTTCTACAAAGTATTGACTCAGGGGGGCTGAATACAAATGCACACCACACTTTTCAGATATTTATTTGTAAAGAAAATTGAAAACCATTTATCATTTTCCTTCCACTTCACAGTTATGTGCCACTTTGTGTTGGTCTATGACATAAAATCCCAATAAAATACATTTACGTTTGTGGTTGTACAACCCTCGGACACCTTGGCAATTAAATCGCCATTGGCTAGTACATTTTTTGGTTTACTCGCCAGACTGAAATACTATACTTGTGTGTGTGTGTGTGTGTATATATATATATATATGGCCATTTCTCACACACACACATATATATACATATATATATATATATATATATACAGTGGTGTGAAAAAGTGTCCTGTTTTTTT